ACTAAAGGGGCAAATTTATGAACTTTGACAGACATGCATGCATGCATGTGGATGGTTAATAGACTGCAATATAGTCTTCAAATTCACTAGATTTTTTATCGTGCAGCTATTTTAAGTTAATAACGAAATTTTATTATTTTTGAACTTTGTCAATAAAAATACGTAATTATTGTGGAATATTGTCATTGAGGTCTAGCGAAAGTGAGGTACTAAAGGGCATCAACAATACTACAATGTTCTGTTGCATCAGCGAGAGGAGCACCATCTTATGCAGAGAGCCTTGAGCCAGACGAAAGAGGTGTGGGACACGGCTTGAAGTCTTGCAGTGCGAGGAAGCAGATCCAAGGCTAGTTGAGTTATTACAGTAAATAATATTGTATATAGAAGTCTCTCTTCTTGTAATGTTAAATAAATATTAGTAATCATATCTGTCTCAGCTTAGTTGGAGATTTCATGTCCAATTTGAAGTTCAATACCTTGTCATAGTTAGCTAAACATGTTACATAGTTTATTGTGGCAATATAGATATGTGGCAAAAGTGTGTAAATATGTATAGTTTGTAAAAAAAAAAAAAATATTAAAGGACGATCCAATTTCGTTGGATGATAAGAGAACGTATATATTGCCATCAGTCAATTTTGTCATCCATTTTTGGCCAACTGAACAGTGAACATTGTCTGCTTAATATCCACCGATCGAGTACTTCCATTTGGTCCTGTAAATATCAAGCTTCATGGAAATTTGTTTCATTCTCTCATCATTGAACGGATATATAATAAAAACATATTACATCAACTCAGCTATAAGTTCTAATGCATGTCTAAGACCATGTATGGTACTGCTTTTTGAGCTAGATACATTGATCAATCATGTTGCCCTAATCCCTTTTGTTAATCGTTTATTTAACAAAACTAAGGGGATGATTATATATAAAGGTGACCCAATTCTTTGCCATTAGTAGGAAGCGTATGATAGTGCCTCTTAACTTATATAAGAGAAATGCTAAGGAGACTCTCTCGGAACTCTCTATCGATTTTTTGTCACCTCACAATTTAATGTTAATTTCTGTGCCAACATTATAAAATTTTATGCTAAAAATATAAGGTGACAGATAGTCCATGAAGAATCTCAATTTTAAGAGAGTCTCCTTAACATTACTCTACATATAATTTGGGAACTTTTTTTTTTCATCCCCATATATATTAGCCTTTTCTATGTTCACTAATTTGGACATGTGATTGAAAAAATATAAAGGTTTGGGCTTGGATTATTGACCACTGAATATTTTGGCTGAATCAGCAGAAGAAGGGTTAATGCTTAAGGAACACCTTCTCATGCAGAAGAAGGGTTAATGCTTAAGGAATAATATCTTTATGCGGACACTTCATCATGGTGGTCGAGCATTAACATCTGCGTAATAGTTTAAAATAAGAGATTTCATGTAGGGTAAAATGCTCTTAATCGCGAGTTCAAAAGAGTTTCGTAGTTCAAGTGATTGAGAATAATATTGGTAAACACAACATTCTATATCCATTTCTCTCTATTTAATATCATTTGTATTCATGATGAATAAAAATTTATTAAAAAAAATACACCTTTAACTTCAAGAACAAGAATCTTACATAAAAAATTTGGCAAAATAAATTAAGATATATTCTACTCCAAATTAATGAGATTGACTTCCTATGTAATAAAACTCCACATCTACCTTGTTACTAGGTGATAGGATAAAATTTAAAAATAATATCGGTGTAATCAGTAGTGGATCCAGACTCGACTTTAACAAGTGGGCCACCACACTTGCTACGTAGACATTTAAATGGATTCGTTCAAATCTAAAGCCCATTTCTTAGAAATAAAGCCCATCCCAACAATGGGCTGGGCCATCATTTTAAGTCGGCACCGGCCCTAGCAAGAATTAAAAAGTTATTCCCAAACCACTAAAATTAAAATTTAAGAAAAAAAAGAAAAAAAAAGAATAAAGAAGGAAAAGAATCACAACGCGCAGAATCGGTCTCTTCTTTGTGCCTCGAACGCCGAAAAGAAAAGAAAATTTCAGAGCCTCGAATGCCATTGAAAGTTTGGGAGGGAGAGAGAGACAGAGAGTGCCCGCGCCAAAGCACGGAGGAAGAAGAAGATGAGATCTCTTTCGGCCAAGACGGTGCGTTTTGTTCCTCAATACCCAGACGTAATAGGCTTATTATTGTCTTATGCATAAACTTGTACTGTATCTGGTGCCTTTTTTTTGTTTTTATTCCATCTTCTGGTGGGCTTTTCAAGTTTTTTCTGTCGCTTTCGTGGATCATGGGTCATGGGAAATGATTGAGTTTTGGTGGGTTTCAAGTTTTTTGGGCAGATTACGTGAGCTTTAACGGTTGAGATTGGATCTTATTGTGAATTATAAATTTATATTTGATTGTGTTGCTGGGATTTCTTGCGTTTTAGAGGATAATGGTGCTGGTATAATCTGGGTTAATGATTTGTTATGTGGGATCTGACTATACGTTTATTGGGGTGTGGGTTATTGGTGAAATTTGACAACCCATATGTTGAAAATTTGCTGGTATTCATTTGTCAGGGTTAGTTTTGATTTTGTGGAATGGATCAATATCTAGACATTTGTTTCAATGTAAGGGAAGTGTTTCTGATTTGTTCGGTTTAGTGATGAAGTTTACGATTTTGTGTGTGATTAATGTGTGATTTACGGTTTAGAATCTTCGACTTAGTTGGTTTTAGGATAGTCATAACTGTCTGCTTTCTATGGAAATACATAATACGGTGAACGTGATTTTCGCGATACTGGGGTGGTGTTCAATGTGCATTAACTTTTATGCCAAATTGCTCACAACGTTATCTTGTGCAGGTACATGAGCTGCAGGTTTTATGAACTCTGCAACGGTTTAAGCAAAAGACTCGTTGAGAATATACAAGCATAGAAATAGGAATGGCTGATGGAATATCAAGCTTCTGGGGTCCTGTCACATCAACGATTGAGTGTTGCGAAAAGAATTATGCCTACTCTTCTTATATTGCGGAATTTTACAACACTATATCAAACATTCCAGGCATTCTGTTGGCACTCATTGGCCTTATAAATGCCTTGAGGCAGCGGTTTGAGAAGAGATTTGGCATTCTTCACATATCTAATATGATTCTTGCCATTGGAAGCATGTTATACCATGCCACATTGCAACATGTGTGAGTATCACTATGATTTATGCGTTCTGGAAGTTTTAATGAACGGATGGGTGGCTGAACTCATACCATACTGGACTATCAGGAAATAGTTAAATTAATATGTTGATAGAAAGGTGTAACTGGATAGTGTGAATGACATGTTTTGAAACACCAAAAGATACACATATTAGACCTTTATGAGTATACTATTTCTGATCATAAATCACATGGAAAGTTGCAATTATTGTAAGATTGTTTCTTTGAAGATGAAGCCTGTGCACTGGGGTAAATTTCATTAATCCGTAACAGTTTGAGGAGCATATATGACATGTCATGAGTTGCAAAATAAAGGTAGTCTGGGTAGCTAATAATAATGAAGTTCACTTTCCGGATGCATTCATGCACATATGCATAATCCACATTAGGTATGAAGGTTTATGTGGATTGACTTATCTGCCTCATAGTTGTTTTAGTTACCTCAGTCTGTCAGGTCCAGTAACTTTATTATTCAATTTCCTTTTCTTGTCTAAATTGTTGCAATGAAAGTTGAGGGCTCAAGACTTTTTTGGTATGTATTTCCAGGCAACAGCAGAGCGATGAGACTCCAATGGTTTGGGAGATGCTCCTTTACATATATATCCTCTACTCCCCAGATTGGCACTATAGGACTACAATGCCCACCTTCCTCTTCCTCTATGGTGCTGTTTTCGCAGGTGTTCATTCTGTGGTTCGTTTTGAGATTGGCTTTAAGGTGCACTATGTGATCTTGTGTCTTCTCTGCATACCTCGAATGTACAAGTACTACATATACACGCAAGATGTGTGTGCTAAGCGGATTGCAAAGCTGTATGTGGCCACCCTTGTTATAGGCAGTTTGTGTTGGCTCTGTGATAATATCTTCTGCAAAGAGATATCCGGTTGGATGATTAACCCGCAGGGTCATGCCTTGTGGCATTTGTTCATGGGTTTCAATTCCTACTTTGCAAACACTTTCTTGATGTTTTGCCGAGCCCAGCAGCGAGGATGGTCCCCCAGGATTGTTCGTCTTATGGGTTTTTTGCCCTATGTGAAGATTGAGAAACCAAAAACCCGATGAGAGGTTCAAAGCAAATGGCAGGAGTATAGTTTCAGTAAAGATGTCGTCGCAGGCGAGGAACGTGACCAAACAACCGGACAATCATTTTCTTTCTCTCTTTAGATTGGACCGAAAAAGATTGGTTTTGATTGTTTTAGATTGGATATTGTCTTAAATTTCCTTGTAAAAGTAGGACATGTAACATATCTATAAGCCCTTTTTTGTTGCATTGGTCGATATGACTTGGTTTTCCGTTTTCTCGTTTCCGAAAGTGCAACTCTGGCTGTATCAATTGTTTGTTACTAAATTTTCGAGCACACCAAGCATTTTTTTTATTGGCACTGAGGTACCGTTTGGTACGTGGGACTTGACTGAATGAAGTGGGACAAGGTGTTCTATCCCGCGTTTGGTGCGCCTAAAATAGGTGGAACGCATTGTTCCATGGGACGAATTTTGGATAAATTTTTGTTCCGCCTCATCCCCCTAGAACGACTCGTTCCGCATCCGTGGAACACAAAATTATAACCTCTCCTTCCTCGTTTCCATCGGAGGGCATCTTTGCTCCCTCTTTGTTCTGTCCCGTCCTGTGTTGTGTCATTCCATTCCGTTCCGTTCCGTCTGCATACCAAACGATACCTGAAGGAACGATTACACGTTATGTAACATGCGTATGTACACGCCAAACGCGTTGATTCTGAACAACTCTGGTCCGTAAATATCAAATACCGGCTGTATTAGAAAGAAAAAGGAGAAAAAGAAGCAAGAATCCATCAAGGTATAAAAATACAATGTTGTCATAAAATGCCTACATAAATTGGACACTACTACAATTACCAAAAGCATCAACCAACTTTGCAGCGGGTATGTTACTTATCAATCCATCAAAAGCGCAAATACAAGGGGAGGAGAGAAAGATGTAAATTCCATCTAAGACTTAATATGTATCAAACAACAACGAGAATATACAGGGTTTACGCGCACAAGAATGCCTCCAACCTAATGGGGGTTGCTCTACGAAAACAGAACACCGCCATTCACAAATATTCCCTTTTTTCGCCTCTGTTCCACATGTACAAACATGCAAGGAAGAGGAGAATGGATGACAGAAATACAGGTTATTCACACGGTTATCCGACCAGCCTATCCTGCAAGACTTGTTTAAGCTTCTCAAATAGAATTTGCTGCTGCTCGAGCGTAAGGTTCATCAAAATCTAAATTGCAGAAAGAAAAAACGGTCAATCCAATTGCGATCAATACTTGTTCATTAAAATTTTCAAAGCCAAAAACTAAATTACTTACGACGCTTGCAAAAAGGATACCTGGTCTATGATCATATCAACTGAGAGGCTCTGAGGGACAATGAAAGACTGGTGATAGATATAAGCAAAGATCGCCATCACCATCTACAACAAAACACAATGTCAATTGCAGAAGCACACACATGGGTCACATCATCATCATCTAAATCGTTGAAGCCAAACATAAAGACCCCATCGTTTAGAGTGAAAGAATTAATTAAAGTCCATTATCAAAAGCGAAAGATTCTGCATTAGGCCCCTTCATGTAGCATCATCATAAGGTGGGAAATGGACGCAATAGTAATTGGTATGAGCGATCCACTCAAGTAATTTAGAATACTCTGATTGAAAAAAATATTATAGTTATTATTTAGGAAAATCATACCTGGCAATCCATTCTGTCTGTGATTCCACCATGCCCCGGGATACTATCACCAAAATCCTATGACAAATGGAAGAACGTTAGAAATTATTTCAAACGGAAGCTTACTGTGCAAAATTGCATCAATCCAAATTACATCGTCAGAAGTAAACCTTGACTTTAAAAGCCCTTTTAAAGCCACTTGCAAAGAAGCCTCCAAATGGAGCTATTATCGATGAAAACAAACCAAGACATAACGCATGCCATTGAACTGGCAAAATTGAAATCCCTTTCCAAGGAAACTGCAACACAAAAAAGATAAAGATTATATTTCAGTCATATAAATAAGGAAAACTAATTTATAAGAATCCAAATTTATGTATCCTATTCAACTGCAAGCATGGCTTTTAGATAACTGAAGCAGTCTCTAAAAACAATCATCTCACTGCTAATACTAAGAGAGAGCCTGCTGATCCACTGAAAGAACTGTTAGATTGAATTTTATGAGCATGGAAGAAAAAGAAGAACATTTAACAACAGTAATCTAATCCCAAAAAGCTGAAGTTCAAAACAGCGGTTTGAAAAGAAAAACAGACTGTAGAGACTAATTATCGTATAAAATAGGCATATGCATGTTCTATGAGCACTTAACACAATAATCTTTGGCCAAATAATGACTTCATTATCAAAAAGTGGAAAACAAGTCAAATAACTGATCTCCAAATTCACAATTTCATAGGGATAACATGATCTATGGTTTACTACAATACACAAACGGGTATACTGTCATTGTAATTACAGAATCAAGAAGTGTCAGTTTACTCACCCAGTGAGGGAGCCATTCTGGAAAAGTATAATACTCTGGCTTAAACAATGGGCCAGGATCACAATCAAGCCAACCAGTCGATAAATCCTGCAAGTGCATCAACAGAAACCAGTGGAAAATTAGCTACAACTGAAATACTATTTCTTTCCTATACCAATTGACTAAAAATTAATCAGAATCATTACCCCTCTTGGACACGTTAGCCACTGGAAACGACCCATGATATTTGCAAGCTGCATAAACAAATGTACATACCATGTTTGTATAACTTCAATTGAATAAATTAATGTCTTATCATGTATTCACATAGAACTCATAGTCGGAATGTTTATACATCCCAGAACATTGTACATCTGGCTGAAGCATGCAATCAAAAAGATAAGTTGTACAAGTAAATTTTGATATATTTAAAGAGGAAAACTTTTGGTTTGACAAGTCATCAAGGAAAAACCTTCTAAACATGTGCCCATGGCTGAGATATAAATAGAGGTGTGGATGTTACAACGAGCAAAATATACTGGCAAGATACACATTTCTATAAGTTGAGATGTACCGTGACCAATTCTGGTGGCACTTCGAGTCAAATAATTATCATACTGGAGCATAAGATCAATAAAAAAGAAATCACGGCAATCTGACTGAAACTAAGATTTCTCTTTCATGCAAGACAAGAGAAGTCTATTTGCCATCACCAAATTAATTAGCAAGCTCACCAAAAATGCTGATATGATAGTTATAACTGACGCTCCAATGAATCCCTCCCAAGTTTTCTTTGGTGATATCTTGATCAAAGGGGTTTTTCCAAAAAAGAAACCACAAATATAAGCAGCAATGTCATTGATTACGATAAGTGAAGCTGGAAGAAGAAACCTGCATCAATTTTGTCTTCGTCTCAGAGAAAGAAACAAAAAAAGAAGTAATGTGCGAGTGTGTTCCTGCAGTAACTTGAATTACCAGAAAATTCCTTCAAAGATGTTTGCTACAAAGAAAGAGGACTGGGTAAACACAGTAATTAGAATCATGTGCGTCCACGCATACTGGCCAAACTGATACTTGTACATCTTCTTCTTTAGTGTAAGAATGAACCACATAAATCCTGAACCCAATCATGTGGAAAGGAATAATATCAGGATCATCTGAGTTATATAAAAGGGGAAAGGACAAACACCAACTAAACAATGTTCAACAATGAAACCACTATGCAAATCAAATATAGTATTGGATGTTGGTCAACAAGAGACAACAATATAATCCAATTTCACTTCAACCAAATATTTGGCTGTAAAGAGAACTTGAATATAAGTTTCTTAAAGCTGTTATGTGTAAAGTGTAAACACAAACATATAATGTGTAACAAACCTGCGATGTACAAGAAATAACAGACAACCATATGATACTTGATAAGACTGCTGACAAGCTTATATAACACTTTATCTGAAGTTACAGTGTTGACAAGCCGTTGACTGAGTATGCGACCGTAAACAAACAGCATCGCAGTGAAGAAAAAGTGCCTGAGCAGAGAAGTTGAACTTGAATAAATATTACAGCAACACTCTTTAAATAACACCTGAACAGATTTCTGTGGAGTAAAATACACTAGAAAAAATGAAATGCTACTATTCTGACCAATTTAGAATCCTGAATCCCGGTAGGTGCTTATCTTCATGAGCTTTCCTGAGTAGATTAAACAGCTCCTTTGCCATAAAGATTTGGATAACCACCACCATGGCAGTGATGCAGAGATGACCCAGATATATAATCAATGCAAAACCTCCAATCATCCAAACAGAAGAGTATGCACGTACCAACATTGACCTGTATTTATTACGGTCATTAACCAGTAAACTGCCTCCATTTGCTTTACTAACATCGGGAAGAGCCTGCAGCCATAAAGGAAATACATGACTAACCCCTTAATCTAAAATTCCTACATTATTTAGACTACCAGACAAATTCATATTGTCCCCAACAAATTTTTTAGATATAAAAACACATTATTATACAGAAACAACTATGTAAGCCCCTAACTTAAAAATAAGCAAATGATCAGTTACAAAACTGAAAAAATGTATAAAAAAATCAGGAGAAACTCGAATGTATGCTCTACATTATTTAGACTACCAGACAAATTCATATTGTCCCCAACAATTTTTTTAGATATAAAATCATACAGTATAAAGCTAGACAGCCCAGAACTCTACATGCATGAAAGAAAATAAGTAAAGTTTCAAATTTTAACAAACCTCAGCTGAGCGTCTACGATGCCGAAGTCGAGCAGTTGGGGACCTTGGGGTTGGTGGGCTGCCAACACTATTGTCTCCTGGCATGACTGTTCTAACTCGCTATCGCTTAATAGGTTAAAACATACATGTATCTGATGCAAAATCACCGTCACCTGAAACAACAAATCACATTCAGATAAATGGGGACAGTAAGCATAAAATAAGTGATAATTGTCTTGTCATTGTGCACTCTATACACTATGGATCCTTTTGATGACCATTTTCAGTTCCCCTTAAAGTGAAAACAACTTAAATACTTTTTCGTTTTGTCTTAGTTTAAATTTTCCGCCTTATACATTTCTTATGCATCTCTCCCATAGGCTTCCTCCACCCTTCTATATCCATTAATTCTCCCATGTATTTACCCTCTTATCACTAACACACCAATGAAAATTGAAACTAAACCCAATGGTTATCAAACGGGCTCTAAAGTACACGAAGCACAAACCCTAATTTCCCCTGCGACACACTATACTAGAGTAATTTGTTGCAGGTACCAAAGATAGAAACCGAAAATGAAGGGAACCCACCTATGAGATGTCAATCAAATGGCTATGACTACAAGCTTAGAATTCCAAAACTTCGCGGAACACACAATTCATCCATCAATTCCAAACCTTTTGGGATAAACCCAATTTCAATATCTTCCCACCACATTCATCACTTCCTTGCTTGGAAAATAAGGTAATAAATAAATAAAATTTCACATTTCAAAGAAATTAAGTAACCCATTATAGTTAATTAAACGCCACCCACTCCTAAAAGTTTCCATTTCAGAATAACACAATACCTCCACCTCAAGCAACTCTGCGGAGAGCTCGTATTGCCGTGATATAAACCTCCAAAATCCACAATAAATTAAAAATAAATAACAAAGTACACAAATTTTCACTGCCCCAATGAATGATTCATGAAAAATCACAACTTTGGCCCAACCCAGAAGATTGAAACACACATACATAGTGTAGCAGTGCAAAAATATAAAATTTCAACAATTTAAAAGCTGAATACGCAGAAACTGTTGAAATTCAAATCTTAAAACCAATAATTTGAACCTAAAGATCGAAAAATCACCAGAGAGAGAGAGAGGAGAGAGAACCCCACCTCGTTTGGTTCCTTTCTTGTGGGGAGTGACAGAGTGAAGCCCAATGGAGGAAACAGGAGACGAACACGAAGAGAGAGAGAGAGAGAGGAGAGACGAGAGAGTGAAAGTGCCTTTCTCTCGTTACTGGTTTTCCGGGAGCGGAGAGAAGAAAACAACGAAAATGAATCGAAAATTTTATTTTAATTCAATATCATCTCCTAATTATTTATAGTGGTGGAGTGTTGACCGTCGGATTTGTGATTTAGGTTTTTGGGGAACACGTGTATGGCAAGTGTTGGAATTTAAGATGCGCTGTCTTTCCTTCTTTCCTAATTCCTAAACTGCCCTCATGTTCTTTGAATTGCCATCCCTCGTAAAAAAAAGTCAATCAATCAAATCCGACATTTAAATTGGTTATCAAGCTTATTTTGTGCATGCATTTATATAGTATTAAGCTTATTTTGTATTTTGTGCATGCATTTATATAGAGAGCTGCTAGACTCCTTCCGTTGTTTTATTTTTTTATTCACGTTATATTTACATTCATTATAGAAAGTTGAAAAAATTAAAATATTATTTTTTCATTCACTATTATTCTTAAAATAACTCTTAATATATATATATATATATATAATTATAGATAAAAAGTCACAGAGCTATGCTTCAATTATACGATGTCGATAAATCAAGTTGATCCACATAAAATTATCTTTTACATTTTCGACATAAACATAATCATCTTCTTCTTCCATAGAAACATCATCTTCTAAATTCATTCTTTTTGCTTTCTCTAAATAAATGTCTTCTAAACATAGTATAAGAGTTATCATGTCCAATTTTTTATATATATAAAAAAAAGTAATGCAAAATTGGGTAACTAAGGTCCTTATTAGTCATTTTACAAATTGACATATTTGTAATTAAAAAATTCATAAAAAGTTGGGTGAGAATATAAGACATTGGGATAGGAATAACAACTCTCTTTATATATTATTTTTAAAAATTTATACTATCGATAAATGCTCTAAATTAATTTAATCTTTGCGCTCCATTCTCTTACTCGTGAAAGAATAAATATATTTAATTTAGTACACATTATAACATTGATAAAAAAAACAATAACAGAATCGGATCCCCTCATGAGCATAGGGTGGGGATCCTCCTGATCGGGTTATCTGAGCCATTGAAATTTGATCCAACGGTAACAAACAAGGGACCATCTAGAAGTTATAATTATTGTAGTCGTGAGATCAAATTTCAATGTCCCAGATGGCCCGGTTAGGATGATCCCCACCCTATACTCAGGAGGGAATCCGATTCCAACAATAACATGTAAAAATGAAAATTTTAAAACGTCAAATAATAGTATTCTTAAAATATAAAATACTATCATTCTGATGGGGTGCAACAAGAAGCCATCGTAATGGAACCCATGTGGACCATTTGGAAGAGGAAGGAGGTGGCATTGATATTATTAATTTAATATGTGCATTATTGAATATTTACAGCTCCATTAATTTTAAGAAAAACAAGTTCAAACGAATTGAGTCATGGTGGTGATTGAGTAATGAGAAGACAATAATTTGGAGAATAAATCTAATTAATCTAATTAATAGATGACAGTCAATCATTACGGGATGACTCAATGGTTGGGGAAGAATTCCATACTTGTATTTTACAAGACATCGTTCTAAATTTGATTTGGAACTCTGATGAATCACATATAATAATTAAAAATGACTAAAATGATTTTGTGAGTCTTCCAAGCTCCTAAAAAGGGAAAGTGACATATAGCATAGAATGCTATGCGTTTCTTTCTTTCTCCCTTTTAAGATTCCCAGATCAAATATCTATATTGTTCTTTCTTTCAATATATTTGGTGCATTCCCAAAATTTGACACTTGGAATATGATACTTTTCGTATTCGTACTATGATGTTTTTTGTATAAGACAAGCTTTATCGAATTGACACCTAGCCCAACCCAAGCGCTTTAGGCTGCATCACCAAATAGTGTTGGGCCCTTGGGGTTTGGAGTTTGGATTTCAGTTTCTATTGGGCCGTTTGAGGCCCATAACTATTTTACAATTTTAGGTACCTTGTGAAACCTAACACAACTAAGAAGGTTTTTTTTTTTTTTTTTTTTTTGCCTTTTTCTTTTAGTATATAAGCAACAATATATATTAAATCAATCTAAATTACAGAAAATAATATTCAAACATAGGAAAAACACTAAAACCGACGTTGGAAAAGAGGCCTCATATTGATACAATTGCAAGTAGTTAAGACTGCTAACTTTTCAAAGGAGATATGTGTTGTTGCTTTGCGGCTATGGTTGAAGTAATTAAGACCTTATTTTCTAAAAGTTAATGAATGATCCCCTCCTAGAATGTGATTAATGTGCCCTTGTGGTTGATGTTTGCATGTCAATAGAAAACGACAAAGACGACATAGGAAAAGAGGCTGCAATAACAATCATACATATCTCTATATATATTCATATACGATATACATGCAAATTTTATATTGACAATGAAGACAAAAAGCAGAGACAGACCCGTCACTACATGAATCCAATGGTAACGGATCTCATTGTTTAGCAGTAGCTTAGCTATATACTCCAATTGGATTCTCTGTTACTACCTCCCGAAAGAAGACAAAGATTCTGATGAGCAAGCAGATAGATTTGTGCCATGCATTTCCTTCATTTGAATCTGATGAAAGCAAAAAGAGCAACGCAAGCATCAAACTAGTTTTTATCGCCAATTTTTTTTTGTTGTCAAATTCTAAAAATCCAGCTTGTAAAATTTTAATTGGGTATTGGCTTAGTAAGATGAAGAATAATCAAAGCCACCTACGGCTATACGGTGGTTCTTGTTTGTATTTTATTAATTATATTTTAAGTGGAAGCTCTCTAACACATGCATGACGATGATGTTGTGGATAAACCACACACAAAACAAAAATACCAAACATTTGACGTTAACTAAGCTTCCATTGTGCTCATGAACAACATTAAACCTCTAGGCATCTCCGTCTAAAATTTTCTATAAAAATCCCCAACAAAAACAAAGTCAATACATTTCTCATCTTCGACGTGTTTTCATTTCATGTGCGACGAACATACGGTGAGTTAATTCTCTTTCATTCGTTCATTCGCGCATATATTGATTAGTTACGTACTTTGTAATTAGTCAAGGAGGCTAAGAGGGTCGGAAATGGGGGCTAATCAAAGCAATTTTAAGTCCTCATCGTCATCATCTGGCGGCCATGGTGGTGGGAATTCAAGTCCAATGCCGTGGATCATGGAGTTTTTGAAACCGGACTGCTTAAAATCGGAGAACAAGAAAAGGAAGAGACAATTGGCACCAGAGACGAAGAAGAATATTTACAAGAATTACACAAAAAATACTGGAATTGTTGGAGCAGCTGGGAATGGGACCAGGATGATAACTCTAGGAGAATGGCTCCTGGCGTCTCCCGGCCACGTCAAGGCAGATCATAACTACAACATCAACGGAGGCGAATTGTATGCATTTAGAGCCAGCTCGAAAAGGATACACCCAGCTGCATCTTCTTCTTCGTCTAAATTGCCGCCTCTGTCTAAAGCAAAAGACAGCTTCTGCCTCGAGAGACCCGTCAAAAATGAGGATCAGAAATCCGATGGGGCAAACTTGGTCATTGCTGATATTTCGACGTCAATGAGCTGCAGAAGTATTAATACACAACTAAATGAGTCTAAAACTCATAAGTTGAAAAAGAAGGTGAGCTTTCGATTGCCTGAAGAAGCTGATATTATCATATTTTACCCATCGGACGACAGCGATAATGATGAAGACATCGATTAATACATAATCTACCATATAAAGATTTCATATCTTAATTTACCAAACACACCCAATCGTTCGTTATCATATTTGGTTTTGGGTTTTGATGCATGTTTGCTTTATTACGATGGCTTCCAGTATCACATAATAAGTAATTAGTGATAATGCATGTGGAAGTTGGAAGGGATTCTTTAGGTAGTAGACTTTGAAGAGTGGAAAATCGGTTGGACGGGACGTTATCCATGCAGCAACTACTAATACCTGGTAAGCTGCGAGTCATGTGATACGTTTATTGCTCCAAAATCAGTGTATCAAAATCTATAGATTTTCTATATCTCGCCAACAAGCATTTTTTATTTTTTATTTATTGCATGTTCTGCATTGATCCAACCCTTTTTTTTCCTTTTTTTTTTGGTTGGAAAATTCTTCACAGAGTTGAGACTTGAGAGCATAAAACTCGGCAATTTTCTATAGGCACAATTTCTCATTGAAAAAAGACACAAGTCCCACGAAATTAACAAAGTATCTGACTGACGGATACCATAATTGTTTATGTAACAAATTAATGGAGGAGATTCCTACTCTTTGACTGTATATTCTGATGGGTAATTCCTTCTTATTTTTTTACTATAAAAGTGAGAGGTAGATACAGTAGAATGAGCGATAAAAACAACAAATATACAACCAATTGCAAGAAATCTTCTCAAATAGAGATTATACATTATAAGGTAGTCGATTTTCATTTAGGACCACAAGTTCATGTTGTGCGTATGAACGGAAGCGATCACATGATTCGCATCACATGAGATCTGCTCATCAACCCGCTTTCTGCTCCAAAATCTGATTACCATGGACCATGGTAGAGGGTACCTACGATCCTGGTGGTAGCTAGGGTTTCGTTGGGGAGTAGAAAAGAAGAAAAGCATATCTACCGTTCAATTTCAAACGCCTTTTCGCATTTTTATGGCGTACTCATGTGTAATTTTTTTTGATATTGCGATAACGGGTAGGTGCCCTTCTCCTTTCAGGCACAAGGTCTTCTTAAGCAACGTTAATTTATCTGAGTTCAATTCATTTGATTTTGCTTACTACCCATGATTGGTAGGGTGCCATTCTTATTACCTTCCAGGTATGGGTCTTCGTCTGCAAGCTTTAATTTATCTCAAATGATCATAAAGTGATTTGGTACCTACCCAAGGTAGGGGGTCCTTATAATATGACCTTCAAGGCTTAGGGCTTGGCTTAATTAGCCTTATCATACAATCAATTACTTTAATGTACTGTTTAATTACAACCTCACACTACTATGCTCGGCTGGTGGACTCATGTAGTTGACTGTGGAATTCTTAGCTTTATAATTATCTTAACGAAAAAGCTTAGAATATTAGAGAAACTTATAATGCAAGTGTCGCTCCAGGTCTGGGCCACGAAAGAACGTCAAGGTTGGCATATGGTAATAAATCGGTAATTTGGTAATTAGGTGGAACGTCCTTAGTGCTACTACTTGCTATGGTACGGGGTGCCCTAGCACAAGATCACACTCATTACTTTGCAGACAACTTTTTCGGTGTGCCGGAAATACAACCTGATATACTAAGTGTTATAATATAAGTGGTTAAAATGTTTTTTTTAATATACGGTCACTTGTCTTATGATATTTTAATATAAGTAGTTGAAATGAGCTGCATAAGTATTAATACACAACTAAATGAGTCTAAAACTCATAAGTTGAAAAAGAAGGTGAGCTTTCGATTGCCTGACGAAGTTGATATTATCATATTTACCCATCGGACGACAACGATAATGATGAAGACATCGATTAATACATAATCTTCCCTATTAAGATTTCATATCTTAATTTACCAAACACACCCAATTGTTCGTTATCATATTTGGTTTTGGGTTTTGATGCGCGTTTGCTTCATTACGATGGCTTCCAGTATCACACAATAAGTAATTAGTGATGATTCATGTGGAAGTTGGAAGGGATTATCTTTAGGTAGTAGACTTTGAAGAGTGCGGTCGGACGGGACGTGATCCATGCAGCAACTACTGATAACAGGTAACCTGCGAGTCATGTGATATGTATATTGCTCCAAAATCAGTATATCAAAATCTATAGATTTTCTATATCTCGCGAACAAGCAAATTTTAATTTTTTATTTTATTTATTTATAGCATGTTCTGCATTGATCCAACCTTTTTTTTTTCCTTCTTTTTTGTTGGAAAATTCTTCACAGAATTGAGACTTGAGAGCATAAAACCCGGCAATATTTTATAGGCACAATTCCTCATTGATAAAAGCCACAAGTCCCACGAAATTAACAAAGTATTTGACTAACGGATACCATAATTGTTTGTGTACCAAATTAATCGAGGAGATTCCTACTCTTTGACTGTATATTCTGATGGGTAAATCCTTCTTATTTTTTTTACTATAAAAGTGAGAGGTAGATACAGTAGAATGAGCGATAAAAACAACAAATATACAACCAACTGCAAGAAATCTTCTCAAATAGAGATTATACATTATAAGGTAGTCGATTTTCATTTAGGACCACAAGTTCATGTTGTGCGTATGAACGGAAGCGATCACATGATTCGCATCACATGAGATCTGCTCATCATCCCGCTCTCTGCTCCAAAATTGATTACCATGCATGGACCATGGTAGAGGGTACGTACGATCCTGGTGGTAGCTAGGGTATCGTTGGGGAGTAGAAAAGAAGAAAAGCATACCTACCGTTCAATTTCAAATGCCTTTTCGCATTTTTATGGCATACTCATGTGTAATTTTTTTTGATATTGCGATAACGGGTAGGGTGCCCTTCTCTTTTCAGGCACAAGGTCTTCTTAAGCAACGTTAATTTATCTGAGTTCAATTCATTTGATTTTGCTTACTACCCATGATTGGTAGGGTGCCATTCTTATTACCTTCCAGGTATGGGTCTTCGTCTGCAAGCTTTAATTTATCTCAAATGATCATAAAGTGATTTGGTACCTACCCAAGGTAGGGGGTCCTTATAATATGACCTTCAAGGCTTAGGGCTTGGCTTAATTAGCCTTATCATACAATCAATTACTTTAATGTCCTGTTTAATTACAACCTCACACTACTATGCTCGGCTGGTGGACTCATGTAGTTGACTGTGGAATTCTTAGCTTTATAATTATCTTAACGAAAAAGCTTAGAATATTAGAGAAATGTAGAATTAGGGCATTGGCATGCTTGTTCTTAACATTTATAATAGGGCATATAATTAGTATGTATAACATTCCAAATTTCTTATAGTATGTTTTATAGTCGCATGAGATCGTTAGTAATGAGTACTTAACGAAGGTTTGGTAATGGAGAAAAATTCTTATGAAATGAAGGTACATATGTGTATCGTCTATGACATTTTGAACCACTAATACAAGATAATTTGTACAACTCTTTTTACATTAACTTAATTATATTAGTGACTCGAGAAGCCAAGGCAGCGGTAAAACTTATAATGCAAGTGTCGCTCCAGGTCTGGGCCACGAAAGAACGTCAAGGTTGGCATATGGTAATAAATCGGTAATTTGGTAATTAGGTGGAACGTCCTTAGTGCTACTACTTGCTATGGTACGGGGTGCCCTAGCACAAGATCACACTCATTACTTTGCAGACAACTTTTTCGGTGTGCCGGAAATACAACCTGATATACTAAGTGTTATAATATAAGTGGTTGAAATGTTTTTTTTAATATACGGTCACTTGTCTTATGATATTTTAATATAAGTAGTTGAAATGAGCTGCATAAGTATTAATACACAACTAAATGTTTTTTTGGGTTTTGATGCGCGTTTGCTTTATTACGATGGCTTCCAGTATCACACAATAAGTAATTAGTGATGATGCATGTGGAAGTTGGAAGGGATTATATTTAGGTAGTAGACTTTGAAGAGTGGAAAATCGGTTGGAAGGGACGTGATCCATGCAGCAACTACTGATAACTGGTAAGCTGCGAGTCATGTGATATGTATATTGCTCCAAAATCAGTATATCAAAATCTATAGATTTTCTATATCTCGCCAACAAGCAAATTTTAATTTTTATTTCATTTATAGCATGTTCTGCATTGATCCAACCTTTTTTTTTTCCTTTTTTTGTTGGAAAATTCTTCACAAAATTGAGACTTAAGCGCATAAAACCCGGCAATCTTTTGTAGGCACAATTCCTCATTGATAAAAGACAAAAGTCCCACAAAATTAATAAAGTATCTGACTGACGGATACCATAATTGTTTGTGTACCAAATTAACATTTATAATAGGGCATATGACTAGTATGTATAACAATCCAAATTTTTATAGTACGTTTTATTGTCACATGAGATTGTTAGTAATGAGTACGTAATGAAGGTTTGGTAATGGATAAAAATTCTCGTGACATGAAGGTACATATGTGACATTTTAAACCACTAATACAAGCTCATTTGAACAACTCTTTTTACATGAACTTAGTTATATTAGTGACCTGAGAAGCCAAGGCAGCGGTAAAACATTTCATGCAAGTGTCTCTCTAGGTCTAGGCCACGAACGAACGTCAAGGTTGGCATCTGGTAATAAATTGGTAATTTGGTGAACGTCCCTAGTGCCACTACTAGCTATGCTACGGGGTACCGTAGCACAAGACCACACCCATTGCTTTGCAGCCAACTTTTTCGATGCGCCAGAAACACAGTTTGGTATATCAAGTGTCATAATACAAGTAGTTAAAATATTTCTTTTTAGTATACGATCATTTATCTTACGACATTTTGATATACCGTTCTGTGTTTCAAAAATATCTCACTTTGAAGGCATTTAACTACATCCAAGTGGTACCAATGCAAAACAACAGGGGTATTCTCGTTGAAAAGGAGTAGGGTAGTGACCCAGTGGTAGCTGTACACGTAGAGGGAGCCAACAAACACATATCAGTATGAACCACCAGTCTTCCCTTGTTTTGGTTTAAACGAGTGGGAAATTGCTTGGAAAGTAATTCATTGCTAAAAACCGAAAAAGGTGCGCCTTTACTTCTCCCACACATTATCACTCTCTTTCTCTGTTGCATTTAGCTTTTGTTCAGGAAAAGAGAGATAAAAAGCAAACTCTTTGGCTGGTGCCCAGAGGAGAGACTTTTGTGAGCTAATGGCTGGAGCTGTAACATTGAAGGTGGCTGTTGCTGTTTTGGCGGTTGGTATCGCCGCCGTGAGCCTCGGAGGGAGCTTGGTTGGAGCACAAGTGCACCATGTGGTCGGAGGAGACCGCGGCTGGGATCCATCCTCCGACCTCGCTTCTTGGTCCTCGGGCAAAACATTTAGGGCGGGAGATAAGATGTGTGAGTCTTCTCTCTCCTCCTCCCTCTCAAGCTTAATAAGGGTTTGTTTGGTTTTACTTATAGGGAACAGATAACTTGATTTTTTTCCATGAATTATTTGCGTCAATGGATTAGTTCAGTCCAAAACTTGAGATAAATGGGGGTAATCCGAAAAAAGATTCATAAGTGGTTGTTAACGAAGTTGAAGTTACCCAAATTCTAAGGAGTCGTATCAATTTATGCTTAATTGCTCTGCTTTTGAAATGGTTAAGTCTCTTAAGATGTCTGTCGGCAGAAACTTAAAAGCGCTTATGGGTTACAAAACACAATAGTGTTTCATGAAAATTATGTTCTAGTATCGCTTGACAAAAGGTTTAAAGCAAAAGCGCTTCCGATAAAAACATTCTCAAACCAACCCTAAACGTCTCTCCAATTTTGGTTTAGTTCCTAATCCATTCTACCTAATCTTTTTTATCAAATAATTGGGGACTTTGAAATTTGATTTAACTGCTAAAGTTATTATAACAATAGATCCGTATTTTTAACCGTTAGATCAAATTTTAAAAACTTGAATTTGTTTGATGAAGATTAGATGGAAGTGACGCGGACAAGATCCTTTTCCTAATTTAATTGGAACCTCTAACCATGACATTTGTCTGTTCCCGAATAAAAGAAGAATAAAGTGAAGATATTTTCATGCATTATTCGAATTCTTTTGACTTTTTTCTCTCCCACTTTTTGGATATGAGCAGGGCTAGCCTACTCCGCGGCACATGGGTACATAGCGGAAGTGACGAGTAAGGAGGAATTCGAGTCCTGCGATGTAACCAACCCAATCAGGATGTTCACGGACGGCCTGGATAGCATCTCGATAGACAATGAAGGACTCCGGTACTTCGCTAGCAGTAACGTCGAGAGCTGCAAGAAGGGCCTCAAACTACACGTGGAAGTTATGCCCCAATCATATCAAGCTCCTGAAACGTCCAACTCCCACGTGGCAGAATCAAAGGGCTCCGCGGTGGTTGCAGCTGAAGGGCCCAAAACCCCTTCTGGTTCGGCCCCATCTCACTGCAAGCCTCATGGTGTTGTCATTTGGGTTGCTTTGTTATGCATTGGGTATTTAGAGTTAGTAGTAAGTGATGTGCGTTAATTCTGATTTGGTAAGAGAGTGAGTGTTGTGTGTTAATTCTGATTTAGTAAGAGATTGAGGATTGCTATTAATTTGGATTTTGGTTTGTATTAATTATGATCTAGCAAGAAAACGACTAAAATTTCAAATCAATTCATTTCGAGTTAGCAACGAAGCAATTATCCCAAAAACATGGAAAATTTTTAGTTGAGACGGAAATAAAGATGGTACATCATGTATTTTTATGCAAGTGGTGAAAATTTTAATTTTTAAGTTATTAACATTTTAACACACATAACCCACTGTTTATATAATGACACGTGATGTACCATTTCGTGTGATGGGAACATTAAAAAATCTCTCCAAAAACACGAAAGAAAATTACAAATTCCGACAATTTAGTATAACTAGGAGCACAATAGGCCTATAAGCACGGAGTTGTTCTAGCCATTGATCTATGGAGAGCCCACAAGGATCAATGGCTACCATTCTAGTCATGCACCCACGAGCGACTGATGCTAGCATCGTACAATCGCAATTATACATAAGATCAATACACAACACAGAACAGTCGTAATTCCCCGGAGAGGGCACCTCAGTGTATTGGGGGATCCAATCATCGTTCTTTCAGTACTATAAAGCTGCTGGTTCCGTTGTTGCCCTTCTTTATCTTAGAGATTCTCCTTAGAATACTCGAAAAAGCAGCCTTTTCCTGCACCATAGACAGAATGAAGAAATAAGGAAACTACCACAATTATAATTAATCAGTCTACGTTCTTCAAATTCAAAACAGAAGAGGGCAGAGCCTGGAGAATGAGTCCAAACTATGGTATAAGCGTGATAGATCGTACCTCAGACGATTTGAGTCTTCCCTTAAATTTAGAAACAAGATCATTCGTGGTGAGTGGTGTTCTCTGCATCAACACGGCCCTGATTTCTTCCTCGGTGACGCGTCCACCAGATGATGATGGCTCCGTTTTCACCGGTGGAGTACCTTTTGGAGGCGCACTACTTTTAGAAGCAGGTACAGACACAGGCTCCTCTTTGATGGATTTTTGTTCCTAATTTGGATACAATATAAATGTATAGCATATCATTTGCAAGCATGGGGAGTTTCAAAGCTTCCAAAAATAAATCTGATAAAAACAAAGTAGCAAAGCGTACATTTTCAGTCTTGACCTTCTTGGGAGGTGCACTGTTAGATGCCTTAGCATCATCGCCACTTGATTTTCTCTTTCCCTTTGAGGACTTGGAGGTTGATGTAGTTCCTCGACTGGACGCAGAAGGTGTTGGTTTTGAGGGACTGTTGTCAGATGGTTCCTCTTTGGGTGCATCCTTCTGCTTTGGAGCCAGCTCTGAAGGTAAGCCAATATCATCATCCATCTGGACACATGAGAAAGAAAAGGCGAATTAGAGGGAGAAGAGCTGTGATGCACCTTGACATACAAATCAAATCTTCAAAACTCCCGTGTCTATGAATAAAACATACTGGTAGCTTCAACAAAAATGTCCCATTGCTTTTCAAAATGTACGTAGTACAGGGAAAAAGAATAAAATCTTATAACAGATGCAGTTCTAAATAGACAAGCACTTGAGTTATTATTATGGGAAATTGGAATCTACATCATCATCCTATTGAGTATGCTAAAAAATAAATAAATAACTTACATCATCATCGTCATCGTCGTCATCCTCCACATCTGAATCATTCAGCCCACCACTTCGCCCAAGTAGCTTCTTCAACTCTTTTCCTGATTTGCTCAGTCCACCCTCTTTGTCATCTTCATCCTCGTCCTCATCATCCTGTGAGAAAAAAACATATTTAAAAAAAGGCCATCTTTAAATTGCACAAAGAGCCACAAGTACAAAGCACTTGCAGCATGGATATAACTGACATACACGTGTACGAACTTCCAAGGTAGCACCAGATACATGGTGAAAACATAACACACCAGTGCCAATAGAGGAGGAAATCAAAGCATTATAATTTATGACACTCATATCAACAAACTTGAGGCTCAAACTTAAACAGATAATAGCACAAGGAATTATCAAGATGTGAAGGGAACTAACAGAAAAACCCGAGACACACCCCCAAATTGAACATGCAAGATAACTAGGTCTTGACTGCTGTACTATATTCCATAGCATAGTTTTCAAATATAAAAATGTTCACATCAATTTGTAGACAAATATCAAAATCCGTCTACCTATTATCTTCATAAGTATTAGTTTCTAACTGAACTCTTAACAAATAGTGGTTGTGGGTTCTACATAATACAAAAAGAGTGTGTAGCAAGCATCAATGATTTTTTATAAATTAAAACCACTATACCTACAGGCCCCCCTCTTTTGGTTCAACAGCTAAATATTTATATATATCATCAAAACCAGATATTTACTAGTAGAAGGCATACTTTAAGATACATAATGCAGCATAAGGTATAATATAGAAATTAACCAATTGGGGGACATTTGTGCAACAAACCTGCTTAATTTCTGGAGGAGCTGGAATCTCTGGTTCCAAATCTTCCCTTTCCTCAGGATTGTTGCCAACAGCTTCATCATCATCAGTGAAAATTTCTTCGTGCTCCCAGTCATCACCTACAATAAGTGGAGACTTGATTATTATAAAGGAAGACATGGAACAACCATAATCCAGACATGGTTATAATGTACTTCATCAGGTGCCCCTGTTTTGTTCACAAAAAAAAAAAAAAAAAAAAAAAAAAAAATAGACATCTGGACAAGACTTATTTGATACGACTTTCCCTATGGATGACCAAACATAGAACTAACACCTTACTAATGAAGTAATCAAATACTTTACAGAAAAAAGGTGGATAAAACCACCATTACTCTTCACGAGACAAATTAAAATTAAAATAAATAAATAATAAATAAAAATAAAAAAACAGTAAAAAAAGAGGCGGGTATGATGTCTGTATATGCAGCATCATTCCGTGGCAAGTAGGTACAAGCTGAATTTCACTCTTCTAAAAACTTGTGGTGATAAATAATGGTATTGGGTAGCAATTCTTTAGGTTAGAAAGAAATAAAAAATAGCGCTCATGATATTTTGTTTATAAGGCAAAACAAAGGAGGATAAATGTTTACCCTTCTCGATATCATCGTCATCCATGTCTGCATCACCTCCCCTTGCGCCTTCATCATCATCATCACCATCACCATCACCACCTCTTTTGTTCAATCTTTTCTTCCTTTCCAACTCTTCTTCATCATCCTCATCTCCTCTATCTGAACCATTTCCTTCTTCATCATCACCACCAGCAGCTGTCTTTTTTCGTCCCTTCCCACCAGCCACACCATTATAGTTGTCAAACCTCTCCACTTCACCAAATAAAGCAGCTCCATTATTTGCAGCTTTCATCATCCATCTTTCATATCCATCTGCAGTCTTTTTCCTATTACTAATCTTCTCTTCGGCTTCCTCTAATGTAAGTTGTTTGTACTGTGCAACCTTGTTGAAATTGAACCTAAGAGATATTTTCGAAACAACCTTGTTTTGATAAGCTAATGCATAGAACGATTGTGGTGGCCATAATTGGTAATTATGAAATGCTTTTACCCACATTCATGCCAAGACTAATAGTGATGAACCGTAAAATTAAAAAAGTGGTAGTAAAAATCGGTCAGGCCTGTGTACCAAGAACCAGCAGGAATAGCAGAAAACTCCTTTCCAGAGGGATGCTTTATTAGCAAGTAGTAGGTTGCAGTCTGTGCACCTTCAAGATGACCCTGGTACTGAGACCGGCCACTTTCGTCCTCCAAAACCCAGGGTTTATTCTTGTACTTCTCCTACACAACAAAACGTAATGTAAATACAAAGGAGCGCAAATGATCCTAATGTCAGTCCATGAAACATCCCACAACTTACTAATTCCGAGAGGAACATAATGAAAGAAAATTACAAGAACAGAAAGCATTTGAAACTCAACTCGCGCTTTAAAATGCTGATACAATCGGGTCACAAACAACTCACAAGTTTATAGTGGTTATTAGCTATAGCAACACAATCTCCAAAAGATACTCGCGAAACGGCAAAAACCAAGCAAGTAATAGCAAATGGGCATAAATTGAATTGAAATTACCCGCATGGCATCACTAAGTTGGCGTCCTTGTAGTCCATCCTTGTGGAGAGACCATTTATTTTCAGAATTCTTCGTCTTCGAAAAACTCGGCAACCCCGTCACAAATCTCCCAATGAAGTAATTCTTGTCATTGACAGTACTCGCTCGAACATTATATTCCTATTTCAGAACAAATACAGCAATTAATCTTTACATACATACATATATATATATATATATATATATATATATATATAGAGAGAGAGAGAGAGAGAGAGAGAGAGAGAGAGAGCGAACTCGAATTAAGCGAGTGACGACGGCGCCGCACTCGTTGCACTTGGCGCGGTTGAGAGCCATTTGTTTGCCACAGTCGTCGCACAGAGTCAAGTGCTTGCAATTGCTTCCGTATAAATCCTTGGTCGTTTTACATCCACCACACTCAGGTCTCAGTATCAAATCGGCCGTCGACATTTTACCTCCTGCAAAACCACGCACTTTTCCCGAGAAACAAACACCGATTCAGAGAGAAAATCCTAATTCCCAGGAAAACGAAAGCTGAATCCAAAACCTAACAATTTCAACAATTTACCAATTCATTCCACAACTCGAAGATTACCTTTTGATTAAACAACAGGGATCGAGTATCGGTTGTGAATTTAGTTCCTTGCTCCTTTGCGGAGAGAGATTTTTCTTTTTTTTCGTTTTGGGGTCGATTGAAATTTCTATTCCGGAAGATACTAAAAACGTATATATATTCATATAGTCGCCAGATCCGCGGCAATTCACCGGCGGCAATGTCTAAAATGTAAAAGGGCTGTAGTTTTTTTGTTCTAAGGCCCAAATATAAAATGAAACCCAATTTGCATGTCAAGCCCAGCCCATAGTGATGTCAAAATTAGTTTGACCCGACCCGGCGGGGCATCCGTCAATTGCAACAGATTTATCGTCGATATGAATCTCTTTGTGTGAATATCGTCAAACAAGTGACGTGGTAGCATATTAATAGCATATTAGTATTTGAAGGTGATACTAATCTGTTAATATTTTTTCGATTTCGTGCACATATTTTTGTTGGA